GGGAGAGGTGGCGTCGGGGGGGGGGAGTGAGGTGGGTCGTGGGTTAGGGTTTCCTCCCTGGTGGGGATATGGAGGGGGCTGGGTCGGCCGGCTGGGCCAGTCGGCTGGGCCTTTGCCCAGTTGGGCTGGCCAGCTGGGCCACAGATGGCCCAGTGGCGGGGGTGCCTCTTTTTATTTTTAGTTAGATTTGTCTTTTCCTTTTATTTATTTCACTTTTCTATTTTATTTCATTTTAATATATTTAGACATTTTCAAAAAGGGTGTTTGTTGCACTATAATCACCTAGGCATTTAACTGCACACTCCAACATTTTAGTTTAATATTTTGAAAACTTTGTCGCTTGACATTAATTTGAATTTGAATTTGAAAATGTTTCGAATCATTGCGAGGTTAGCAACAGTAAGAGTGGTGATGTGGCATCATTAACAGAGGTTACTGTAGCTTGATTATCCGGGCGTCACACAATCCTCCAGTAGATATTGCGTCTTTGTTTGGGACGTGGTTAGCTGGGGTTGAAAAGATCACGACAGCTCGTATTCGGATTCGAATATGTGCGCTATTATGGGCTATATGGAACTGCAGAAATGATATGATTTTTAACAGACAACACAATTTAACTTTTTTGCAGGTTATCTTCAGAGCTACAACTTGGATCCGTACGTGGTCCTTACTTACTCCTACGGACTCCAGGGAGCCTTTGGTTACTGGGTGCAACCAATGGGAGATGGTGGCTCGGGTTATATTCAACCGGTTCGGATGGCGGTCGCATAACAGGATAGGAGTCTAGAGAGCTTGTCCTTACTATCACCATACCGGTTGTCTTTTGTGCTTTATTTTGCTCCGTTTGCGAGCTGTAAGACCTTTGTAATGACTATTTTTGAATTTTTAATAAAAAGGCCGCATGCATCATCATGATGCAGAGGCCGGGGGTATATCTCCATTTCAAAAAAAAATGTATCGTTGGTGTTTCCCTCTCCATGAGTTGCAACCAGCGGGTATTTTTATTTCTGGAAAAGTTGCAATTAGGAGGAATAATTTATTCCACAACCACCATTAGTTAGCTTATAAAAACTCTTTGCTTCACTGCAAAGGGAACTTGAAAGTCTTTGCTTATCAAATAGAAAATGCCCAATGATAAACCATGATACAAAAAAAGAAGTTTGCTTTGTACTGGACAATAAACCTAAAATGAACAATGATAGATGATGCACCCCCACCCATGCAAAGATCCCATAAACCATGCATCATACAAGTCCCGAGATCCCCCCTGGCCCCTGCCATAAAGCACACAATGATTAGACCAAACAGCAATCACCCTGCAAAGAAATGAAATGCTAAACCAGATTTAAATATTTAGCAATCTAGCAGCTCGACCTAGACACGAATCAGGATTTTCGTTGTAAAATGAAGTGCATTCTTTAGCAAATAACACTACAGAGTCGGGAGGTGAATTCACATGAGTTAGTTGATTAATGTACATTAGATCAGTGCTGCCCAGGTAGATTTATGTGCAGTTATGCAAGCTCTGGAGAATCATAATGGATGCATATGGCTCTGCTGTACTTTGTAGCAAGAAAAATTACCACCAGATCTTACAGGCCAGGCAGATGAATCTCAGTGCAACTGTGCAAGCAATCCTTCAGACAGTAGTACAGTACACCACCGTGACAGACAAGACGCCGACCGACGACGGTCCCATTCTTCATCTTCACCTTGAGCCACCAACAACCTCACTCCCTCACTCACTCCCCACGGGTAATATAGACTACTTGGAGCAAAGTCCAGCACACCCCCATCCCACGTCCAAGACAAGAAGCGCCTGGAGCTTGCCATGGCTGCCAATCCAGATCGGGAGGTGTGCCACCGGGCAGGGAGAGGAGGGAAGATGCTGCTGCCGGTGATGGCCGTCTTGGCGGCGGTGGTGCTGGCGTCGCTGCCGTCGGCGGCGGTGGCGACCAACTACACGGTGGGCGACGAGAAGGGGTGGAACCCCAAGGTGGACTACACCTCCTGGGTGAAGAAGCACCGCCCCTTCTACAAGGGCGACTGGCTCCGTAAGCTCCACATTTCTCCTCCCTCCCGATCTGCTTCAGCCACGTACGCACCATTGATGGGGGAAGAAGCTAACTGAGCTTGGTTGTTTGGTTGGCTGCAGTGTTCGAGTACCAGAATGGGCGGTCGGACGTGGTGCAGGTGGACGAGGTCGGGTACGACAACTGCGACAAGGAGAGCGCCATCAGCAGCCACAGCAAGGGGACCAGCTACGCGTTCCAGCTCAAGGAGGCCAAGGACTACTTCTTCATCTGCAGCTACGGCTACTGCTACTCCGGCATGAAGCTCGCCGTCACCGCCAAGAAGGGCCCCGCCTCTTCCTCCCCCGACTCCGGCTCATCCTCCTCCTCCTCCTCCTCGCCGGCCGCCAAGTCATCCTCCAAATCCGCCGCCCCCCCCATCGCCGCCCGCAACGCCGCTCCCCTCGCCGCCGCCGTGGGCGCCGCGGCCATGCTACTCAGGATGCTCTGATCAGTTGATCTGGCTTGCAATTCCGTTCTCCATTAAGTCCAGTTTGGCTCAGATCTTGTCAGATTTTCTCTTCTCTGTTAATTTATTCCTCCCCCTCCTCCTTGGTTAAGCTTAAACATTGGTTCTTGTGCGCTTGATTGTTCCATTTTCCTTTTTCTTATTTTGTCGATTTTGATCCGAATGGTGTCTGGTCGATGGTTGTAGTCGAGGTGCCAAATTAAAGATTTTAAGTGTGAATTGAACAAGAACTCCCCCGGTGCTCTGGTTGATGATTGTATATTGCATATTGTACTTATGTGTGCGCGCATGTGATCGTGGAGGCTGCAACATGAACATGGCAGTAACATGGATGCCCATGTGGCCATGCGTGGTGACAGCTAAGCAAGTCGGTGAGCTCTCGTACATTTTGCCTTTGCGTCTCCGCTACTCCACTGCCGCTCCTGCCCGGGTATGGTTTGCCACCATGTCCACCTCTACTCTTTCTCTCTTTTGCTTTTTGATGATGATGAAACTTCACATGCTACAGTACATATAGGCATTTCTCTCTGAATTTCAATGTAGACCATTTTGTATTTATTCGTATAAAAGGGAAAACAGACATACAGATTGCACTACATTTGGCGACGAAAATCCCTGATAGATTGGGATGTATCCAAATCCAAACAGTACAGATTTTAGCTGCAACTTTTGCTACAGTGCGGTGAATGGCTTTTGCAATGGACTAGCATTTCACGGCTACTAGTTACTCACAGGAGAGGGTGGATCTCTCCGCGCATACCTCGCACTGAACATCGATTCAGTGCACTAAAACGCGCGCACGTTTGATCAAGAAGAAAACGTTTTCTCACCGCACAAAATGATGCCAACTTGTCTCCAACCACCATGTGGACATGGCCCGTGGTACATTCCTGCCAGTTTGAGCTACCTACAACAGACTATGCTGCGTAGATGCGCTAGCGATGTTCCCCTTTTTGGGGGTCAAAGTTGGTGGTGCCTAAGGATTAGTTTTTCCTTTTTTTTGAACTGGCAAAGGATTAGTTTGTTGAGGCCGATATGGCCTTCAAATTTTACCATATTTAAAATCTAGGGTCCCGATAACTGCCACACGTGTAATGTATCGGGTGATTGTGCTGCACGCCTTGTATGGCATGGAGAGGAACCCGCCCGCACGACCGCGTCCGGGCGCGTAAAGCCACAGCCCGCACGTCCGGTGTGTGCCAAACCCGCCCACACGTCCGGGCCAGACGACCGCGCTGCCCGCACGACCCAGCCGTCCCGGCCTCCTTTCGATCCCCAGTCCCGACTGCCGTCATCGTCTCCCACCTCTCGATCCCCTACCTCCATCGCCGGTCTTCTCTGGTTGCCATGGCAACCAGAGCAGATCCGTAGGGCCTTCCCACCGCTAACCACACCCCCTCCCCCCCACCCCCCGCCCTCCAAAGACGACCAGCTAAAAGCAGGTGAATCTCCGATCTCCTACTGCTTCTCATCCTTCTTCTG